TTGCTTTTTTTTTTTTAAATACGTTTCTGGCCCACTTGGTTGTCCAGAAAAGCTCGAAAATGTGACTCAATTGTACCCGAAAAGCTCAAAAGCCAGAAAGCAAATAAAAAGAATCCAATATTTATTATTTTTAAACTAATCTCATGATTTTTGGGGAGGGGGGGGAACCTGACTCAAGATTTTTGAATCCTTGGGATTGGCAATACCATAATAATTAAAATACAGCATTCAAAGTAACATATTCTAGTAAGAATAGATACACTTTAGGGTTCTACTTAAATTATTTTTTTTTAAACTATTTTCCATGCAGGGCCCTGGCACTGGACTGCAACAACAGTGCACACCACCTAGGACTGTCCACGTGTACTGGGAGACTAGACTCCCTTCAATAAACTCACATAACTGTCATTACTCTATATCAAAGTTGTGGTCTTTTTAAATCCTGGTCCTGCAAGTGACTCATTATGAACAAACCCCTGCACCCATACCAAGTCCCATTGACTTCATTAGGGTTTTGTGCAAGCTGTGGAATCCACCCATGCATAGTCACTGATTGGGTCCTACTGGAGGGAAGAATAGGTTTCCAAAGATCAGATCAAGAAGAATGGCTGAGTGGCAGTGTTGTGTATAGTAGTTAGCGTAGGAGACTGGACTCAAAGGGTCTGTTCCTGCTCTGCTACCATCTCACTGTGTGGTATTGGTCAAGTCACTTAACTTTTAGGCTACAGTCCCATGTGAATTAAAAAGGGACAGTAATACTTATCTGCTTCATGGCTGTGTGCTAGGATTGAATTAATTCATGTCTGTAAAGTACTTGGTGGGGCTTGACTCTATATAAGTGCCAGGTGTTGTTATTTAAGATTCATTAATTATTCATTATGGAGCCATGGCAACTCCCCTCCCTTTCCTGTGTCACTAGTTGTTTTTGGTGATCTCATCCCAAAAACTTGTGCAATACTTAAGCCTTCAGAAAGTCCCTGCTATTTAAACCCTTTATTCTGACGTGAGTGGTGGTTAGGGGCTGCTCTTTTAGTAAGAGGTTGCAGAGCAATGGCAGCTTTTATCTCTCAAAGACTATGCCTATACTTACAGCAGCATGTAGTGTAGAGACACTGCACACCCAGCTAGCATGTGCATAAATAGTATAGACTGAGAGGTACGGCTTAGGTGAGTAAAGCGTCCTACACACCTGAATGCCCAGAGAGCTTCTGCATGGCTCTCTACATGCCAGGCAGTGCCTCCAGCCTCTGTGCTGCTATTTTTAGCAGCGTAGTGTCCTGCTGCTGGAGCCTTTCCGCATGGCAGAGAAAGGATCCAGCAGTGAGGAAAGGCTCTGCCAGGGTGGAAGCAGTGGGGAAAGTCCCTGGCAGCAGGGAAAGGCCTGCTGCCAAAGCGTTTGCCCACTGCACAACCCTTTCGCTGCTGCTAGAGCCTTGCAAAGTACATGTGTAGTCCCTGTAGTCTACACACCACTGTTTAAGAGTAGATGCAGCCAAAGTCAGTCAGGGAGCACTGTTGCTCCTCCACCCCCCCCCTTAACCATCCCTTCTTTCCTCTTTGCCCCTTACGCCAGGCAGCACTATGCTTTTCTGAGCATCATGGCCTAGCAGCCAGTGATTAGAGTATGGGGCTGGGAATTAGAACTCTTGGGTTCTATTCACAAGTCTGCTCTGGCTCACTGTGTGATCTAGGGCTTTCCCCGTGTGCTTCATTTTAAATGGGTATAATAAATTTTGCTTAATTCCCAGTGGTTTCAGGCTGAATTAGGACTTGTCTACATGGGGCTGTTAATGAGAAGTAAAGTAGGAGGCCAATTTAAAGCACACTAGCTACTCTGGTTTCACCAGGTAGACAAGCCCTTAGTTCATGCTTATAAAGTGATTGAGCTCTGTGAATGAAAGCTGCAATGTAAGTTCTAAATACCTTTCTGTTGTTATGAATGTAGGCAATCTTCATTGAAAGCAAAGTAGCTTATCTGTAAATCAACATTTGATCAGGTGGAGGCATAGATTCCACGTTAGTGGGAGGGAGAAGTTGGGTAAACAAACCCTGCCCACTTCTACTGAACAGAGAAAACTGTAGTGGAAGTAGAAATGATTCTCATCCCTTGTGGTTTGTTTTGTGTGTAACACAGACTTTGAATGTAGTAGTCAAAAGCAGAGGCCAGTTATTGAGACTGTTGGATAGAAATGAGTGCAGTTCAGCTATTGATGTGGAATTTGAAGTGACAGAATGAGAGAGCTCTTTTCCTTCTGTTAGCAAGGTTCCAAGGTTTAGTGTGAAGCCCGGTACTGCTTTTTTTTTCAGCAGCACTTCCTATGGGCAGTTGAAAACATATCACAAGCACTGAGAGTACTCAAGTGAGCAAGTGGAGCATTCAAAGGAAGAAGAGCAATTAAGAGAGGAATTTAAAAATTATCATTGCATTAAGAGAATTGTTAATATACAGGCATAACCAATGTGCAGTTGCAAGCTTTCCTGTGCTGTCAAGAAAGGAGAAGGAACTAAAATTTCAAGAAAGATTTAATCCACATTTTGTAAAACCTATCGAGTTCACAACAGGTGAGAAGCAGTAAATGTTTCCTCCAAAGGAAACTAGAAACCAAGGCAGAATTACATTAGCACAGATTAACCGGGTTATCAGCTAGTCATTTAATTAAACAGAGTAAATCCTTGCTTAGCTGAACCACCTCACCAGAAAAACTCTCCTTAATACAAATGATGTTCCCCAATTTCCCCCTTTGTTCATGCAGTTAAATTAAATGTCCATCCTATTTGAACAAATAGGGTTCTACTGTATCTATTTTAGGTCACTGATTTGTATGCTGTAGAAGCTATCTCATTGTTTAGAATACAGTGATATACTGTTGTGTGTTTTCCCTTTGCTGCCTTATATATAGTGGATTGTTGTTTGTTTGTTTTGTTTTGTTTTGTTTGAGGGGTTTAAACATTTGGAACAGAGTAGAAATAACCAAGTCTTTGTACAAAGGTGGGTTAGATTTAGACCTTTATCTTAAAAATGAATTTTTCATATTTCATACATTATGATGCCCATCTCCCATACTTCAAGTTTTTGGGTGGGAGGGGCAGCCAACAGAAAATTAAACCCAATCTTCACTTGACCGTTAATATTAGCCCAAGATAAAATGTGTTTTTTTCCCCTGTGTGATCTGATCATTTCCCCCTCCCGCCCAAACAATATGCAAAGAGCTGAGCCAAATTTCAGGCTGCGGGGTGGGGGGGAAGAGGTAATAAATAAATAAATTCAGATTTTGACAATGCTTACAAATTATTGATTCAGATAAGGCATCTATGAATTTCAAAATCTGTTTTCACTCCTCTAATTTATATTAATTTGTTATTAAGGACATACATATACTTAGGCATGGCAGAATTTGAAGGATAATATCTGTTTATTTTTAAGCATTTTTTCTCTTTTTATTGTTTACAGTTGTAGGAAATTATGGGGGGAGTATCAGACAAAGGGCAGGTCAGGCAATAATTATTTAATGACCGTAGACATTGAGATTCAAAAAGTTAATGTTTGTAACCATTAAAACACAGATTGTCAACATCACATGTCAAAATATACAAAGTAAATATCCTTAAATCAAACTCTAATATGTTCTCAAGTAGCATTTTTCTTTCTCCTGTACAATTTGATAAGTATCGATGAAAATATTTTTTCATCAGTTTGCGTGTGTATGGTGAAATTGATGTTTACTGACATTTGCTAATAAAAATCGAATCCTTCCAAGCCTACATATACTCAAAATGTATTCACAGAACTAGGCAGCTGACTTTCATATACAAGAAAAACAAATGAAACAAATAATTATAAATGTTCTGTGCAATTTTATCCCACAAGAAGGTCCAAATTCTGATACCGTTATGCTGAATAGTATCTTACTCTGCGAGTAGTCCTTTTGGTTTAAATTGGGCTGTTTGCTGAGTAATCTGTTACTATATGAATCTGGCCCCAAGTGTTGTGTAATGCTCACCTGATGCCTGTCCAACCTGATGCTATATTACAAGCTATTCTCTTTTTAGAAATCTCGTTACAAAGGTCGGTCAGTACTTAATTGATAAGGAAAACATTTGTGATTTGAAACAGAATCTTGGTGCAACAAGTCAAACATTGGCTAGAATCTTCCACCATCATTTTCGTAAATATTACAGTGTCAGAGAGAGCAGGATGTTCTTCCCTTTGAAGATAACTGAGCTGGGGCTTTTGTTGAGACTAGACATGCCCCGGATTGTGAAGCTGTTATTTCAATTAAAAAACATTAATAAATCCCAAATAGTTAATCCTCTTGTTCACTCTATTTAACCTCTGAAATTCCTCAAAATGAAAGCACCAGCTTCTACTTTTTAGTCTGTATTCATTTTTCTTTCTTTTTTTTAATACTCTCACTCTTGTGGCTTATCAGACGCTTTCAGTTTAAACAGCCTCTGAGGCAAACAGTAGGTTTGTGCCGTGTGTGTGTGTGTGTGTGCGCGCGCGTATGTGAATGTGTTTGTGTGTGTGTGTAAGTGTCGTAACGTGGCGGGGCATAGGCAGTTATGAAACTTTCCAATAAAGTCTCAGTGCGTCAGTATTGGTTGGTTGTTGTTTTTTTCCGTTGCCCTCTGATTTCATTTCCAGTTATGAGTGAAGAGAGAGGGCTGGGGGAAAAAAAACTCAAAAAACCAGTTGACTGATGAAAGCAGCAATTCCCATGACAGGTGGAGCATGCAGCATGTTGAATGAGACTCTTCATTTTTGGTGCACCGGGACGGGGGAAGGGGAAATCTTTCCACTTTGGGCAGCTGCTGGTTAAAAGGGGCCCCAGCAAACTGTTAAAGCAGCAGCAAGAAGTTTGGCTTTAATTTTTTAAAAGGACTGGAGAAATTATTAACCACAGTTTATGACGTCACAGTTGATCTGATTAAAGGTTTGTTTTCTTGCTGGCAGAGGTGTGCTCTGTAGAGACTGGTTCTCTCTTCTTTTTTTTTTTAAGTTTCTTTTTTGAACAACAAACGGAGAGAACTGCTCGCATTGCTGCTGCTGCTGCTCCAGCTGCGTGTGTGTGTGTGTAAAAAGGATGGTGTATCTGTAGCTGCCACGCACAAACACACATTTGACCATGAGGACTCTTCGCAGGTTGAAGTTCATGAGTTCGCCCAGCCTCAGTGATCTGGGCAAGAGAGAGCAGGCAGCCTTGGATGAGCGGGGGACCCAGCAGCGACGGGCCTGCTCCAACGCTACCTGGAACAGGTAAGGTCTTGCTCGATGCACTTCCTCACCTGGAGCTTCTAAGCTCTCCGACAGCAGCTGGCATGCTTAATTCCACAATTACAATCTCTTTCTCTTTTTCGCAGTCTGGGATAGTTTGTTCCTAACAGTGCTTTATTTCAGGAACGTAACAACACATTGGCTTTTGCATTAAGGTATTACATGTAACCAGAGACATGTTTAGTAACAGATAGGAGCAACTCTTTGAGGCTGCTATTAACCTTTCTCTGAATGCTGACAGAAAAATAAGTCTTGCCCTCCTGAAGATGGTTCAACCTATGCTTCATTCTGACAGGCAGGAACTTTTTTCAAAGCACCAAAATACAAATATGTTCTTATACCTTGCTAGACATTTTAGTTCAAGGTTGATTTGGTTTTGTTTAAAAGTGTGTCTGTGTATATTCTGCTTTGCTGTGCTTTCTGTATGTTTTGGAAGGGGGAAAAATAATTCCTTACTTTTTTCTGTGTATGATTTCTATGTCTATCAGTGTTTGTCAAAATAGATAGTGGAACTTTTTCAAGTAACTTACGGGAACATTTTCCAAAGTGAGTGACTTAGGCATTTAAGAGCCTAAGTCCCATTGACTTTAATTGAGACATTGACTGCTAGGTGCCTAAGGCACCGATTTTAAAAAGTATTTAGGTGCCTAACTCCCATTAATATCAGGGTGCCTAAACACCTTTAAAAAAGCTGGCCTTAAGTCAATTTTTTGAAAATAGGACTTAGGCGCTTTGGAAAATGTTACTGATAGGTATTTTTAAAAAGCACTGAGATATATTTACAGCAAGAGAGAAATCACTGGAGTGGCCAGGAGAACAAATTTCCTAATAGGATTGTGCCATTGTGCAAAAAAAGATTCCAAGAAACCACATCATCTATCACTATGACTGTGCCATTATTTATTTATTTATTTATTTCTTATAAATTCTTTAAGTACGAGCAGCTTGTTAGGTATTATAATAATACAAGACACAACGGAGACACTGTCCCAGCCCTGAGAAGTTTGCAGCTTAAATAATACAAGTATGCACAGGGAGATCCAGATGACGGTGCTAATTCAAGATTTGCCACCCTTACTCGTGTTGAGTAGTACTTCACTTAGCTACTTGTCCCACGGGAATCAGTAAGGCTGCTCACAGAGTAAAGGCTGCTCGGTGTGAGTCAGGGTGACAGAATAGGGTCCTCAGAACTTTTTCATAATGGTGTGCTGACAGCTTTCACTGGCCGAGATTAGCATTTATGGGCCTCCTAGGAGAAGCGAGTTGTCAGGACGGATTTGAACGGAGAGGGTGTGGCTGCCTGGCATAGTGGGATAGGGAGGGTTTAGGGGACGGTATGGAAGGGGTCTCATGGTGCTGCATGAGCACTGAGAAAAGTGCTGCATGAGCACTGTTCACATTCGCTGTCTCTACTGTTGGTGCAAAACACAGTCCAAGAACTGGTCAGATAAGAGCGGGTTATTTATTTATTTTTGAATTTGGAAAAGGTGGGGACAGTTATGATCAATGGGTATTTCCCATCTGTCTGTGGGAGACTTGTTAGATCTTCTGTGCATTTAATTAATCACGCATCACGTACTGTTTAAACCATGCATGTGTGAGCAATCTCTTTACTGGTTTGTGAACTCGGTGACTGACCTTTCCTTTTTGCCACGAGGTCATCTTTCCCTTCACTGTGAATACACTGGCACACTGAACTTCCATAGCACGCATCTTTGAAATCCCTCTGGAGAAGCCCCACACTGCTTAATTTTGCAAACAGAGTGAGCATCAGTGTATGTGTCCCAATGTGCTCTGAAGTCATGATAAATATTACAAAACTGATTTTTAGAGACTGCAGGCCCTGCATTTCATAGTAAATAATAGAAGGCCCTCTCTGCAGCAAAACAAGGGGATAAACGTAGCTCTTTCTTGCAACTTAATGCAGCTCATATCCTGTCTTGGCTTTAAGGATCTCAGTACCTTAGCAGATACTTTACACACTCTGTAAAATTTATCTTCATCATTTCATCTCCGGACAATTGAGGCTTCAATAATGGGTTAGCTATTCATACTTTGAAACAATTATCTGAAATCTGGTTAAGATTTTCAGATGTGACACAAAAAAAAGTGCAAGATTTTGAAAAGTGACCCTTGACTTTGGGTGACTCAAAGTTTAGGTGCCCAACCTAACTTTAGGTGCCCAACTTTAAAAAGGGGCCTGATTTTCAGAGTGCAGGTGTTCAGCACTCTCTGAAATGCAGGACTCAGGAACTTTTTTAAGGCGTCTCCAGTTGGGCACCTAAGCTTTGGGTCACCCAGAATCACTGGTCACTTTTGAAAACCTTTGCCATGCATGTGTTTTGTTTTGTTTTTGTTTGGTTCCTTGGGTTTGGTTTGGTTGTTTGTTTGGTTCCTTGGGTTTGGTTTGGTTGTTTGGTTGTTCTGTAAAACAAAAGTGTTTTTTAACAAAAACATTTCTAAGTACTGTCCTCAAACATTATCCTTTGGCTTATGTACTGCCTTCCTTATAGGAGAACGATTTCTGCTATTTCAATCAGTGTACTATTAAACATTCTTGCTAATCAGGGGAGTGATAAGAAGCACCAGAAATGCCTTCCATTCTCATCAAGCCAGAATCTATTATGTTTAAATATTAGTTGCCATTTCCCCCTTAATTTTAGCAGCTGTGCTTGGGTGACGGTTTGTGGGTGTGTGTTTGCAAGAGGCTTTGAGCCTGATTAAGTAAAGCTGATGCAAGGAGGTGTGAAATACAACCCCTCAGAATGCCCCTGCTCCAGCCAAGCCCATTGCTCATGAGAGGATACTCATCCTTCGGGAGGACAGGCAATGACCCTGTCTCTGCCCTGTGTCAGAGTACTGTGGGAGGCCACATTTCATTTTCCCAAGGTTCCCTATAACAGTAGTTCTCAAACTGTTGTACTGGTGACCCCTTTCACACAGCAAGCCTCTGAGTGTGACCCCCCTAATAAATTAAAAACACTTTTTTATATATTTAACACCATTATAAATGCTGGAGGCAAAGCAGGGTTTGGGGTGGAGGCTGACAGCTCGCGACCCCCCAGGTAATAACCTGGCGACCCCCTGAGAGGTCCCGACCCCCAGTTTGAGAATCTCTGCCCTATAAGCTTTGCCAGTGAAAGTTTTGGAAGAGAGCCACTCAAGTCAGTGCTCTCTCTAGTCAGCCTCACCACACACCTTTTTCTGGCTGTGTTACACACTTTTGAGCCCATGCTGCCCCCTCCAGAAGTAGAGTTGTGGCTACTTCATGTGCCAAAATGAGCTATCTGGCAAAGTTTCCTTCACTCAGGCTAGGTCTACACTACCCGTCTGAATCGGCGGGTAGAAATCGACCTCTCGGGGATCGATTTATCGCGTCCCGTCAGGACGCGACAATCGATCCCCGAATCGACGCTCTTACTCCACCAGCGAAGGTGGGAGTAAGAGCCGTCGACGGGAAGCCGCGGAGGTCGATTTTGCCGCCGTCCTCACAGCGGGGTAAGTCGGCTGCGATATGTCGAATTCAGCTACGCTATTCGCGTAGCTGAATTTGCGTATCTTAAATCGACCCCCACCTGTAGTGAAGACGTAGCCCAAGTCTTCTGTGTTGATATCCGCTTAAGCCCTTGGGATTGTATTTGTGACAGGGTGAATTCTGCCCTTTGTAGCTAGGTGAGGGCAAATTGCAGGAGACTGGGTTCCATTTCTGTCATTGCCCAGCTCCCCGCTGGCACATTGCATTCTTAGCAAGGTTTCTTCCTCTGCAGGGATGTTCCTTCATCTCTGCAGCTACAGTACTGTAAAACAGCATGAAACTGTCAAATCAAATGGAAGTAAACCATTGTTGAGCTTCTGCCTACTACTACGTAAATTAGACTTTGTGGGCACAGCCTCTTCTGTCCCTCTTTTCCATGAACCCCAAAAGCAGTGTGTACCAACTCACCAGCCAACGCATGTTCACTAGCAACTAGAAGCAGCATAATTGAACAATACAACTTCATTAGAGCTCACAAAATTGGCATTGGATTAAAATAATTTAGGTTCTTTTACAGGCATTGTCTTCAACTGCTTATTTGCTGCTGCAGCAGTAAATAGGGCTGAATACTGATTAAACCGATTGGACTGAGAAACCCAAGGTTTATAATCTTTATAATCTGATAGCCAAGGGGGCCCCTCTGAGGGCAAAGGAAATCCAAAGAGAGGTTTTCTTTGACTGAGCTGGCACTGACTGCCTAATCAGTGGTTAATACTGGCTGGATTCTGCCATGGAAAAGCCTATAGTGAAACGAACATATATTCTCCTTGGTGTTAGGGAAAAAAGGGAAAATGAAGAAGTAGGAGGTAGTGAATAAAATAAGCTAAAATATAAGGAGGAGGAGGAGATGTTTCTTACAATAATGAAATCAACGGTAAATCCAAGATGAGAAACATGATTAGGAACAATCTGAATTAGTTTTTGCAGGAATATAGTATGCATAGTAGCTTGCCATTAAGTAGTGCTCAGTGGAGGGTGCAATGTTTCATCTTGAATTAAAAATCCCTGTCTTTTCAGATTACAGCAGGGCTTTCCTAATGAAAGAAACTTTGAAATGTGTCAAACTGAAAGTACTGAGCTTTCACTTTTGTTAGGACATTTTTCCCTTTCCCACATTGGCTAATTATTCAGAGATACAGTATTTGTATTGATTTAGCTCCTTCTTCCCAGACCTTCTCAATGGGATCCACTTTTGAGAGAGAGTTTGGTTTGAACACAGGAACAAATGGGAGCCAAAAACTCCTTACTTCTACTCCTGACTCCGACACTAACTCTTTTTGTTACACTTCGGGGAAGCTACTTAACCCTCTGTGCCTCAATTTCCCTATCTGCAAAAGAGGGATAATAATGTTCATCTCCCTCACAACTGGGTTTACAGTTGATGCAGTTAATGAATGAATGGTTGTAAAGCACTTCGAAGACTTTGTGTTTTAATAAATTTATTTAT